ATATCCGCTGTTTGCTGTTGTTGTTAGTGTCCAGTTTGATGAAGAGCACTTTTGCTGCAGTAAAAGCAAAAACAAATCAGTTGTAACCCACAAGTTATTATTCGCTTTTTTCGATTTCATTAGGTCGTCTGCTCGGATGATTCCTGATTGGTGCTGCAGGTAAAACTCCACATTTGAATCGCGAACAGTTTTCATTTGAGAAACACAGCTATACAACCAGGCTACATTTTCGCTTGTAGCTACCAAATCTATAAAATAGTCAATATATGCAGAGTATTTCAAACAGCTTTCAGTTAGCTTTGCACCATTGAAATCAGGTCTTCGAGAAATCATTAACAGGAAAAGGATTGCAGACTGTTCAATATAAACTTTATCATATGACTGAACAAATCTTTTGACTGTCTGCTTAATTTCAGGCTGCCGCGACTCGGCCACAAAGAACAGTAATGGAATAAACCTCGTTTTGATTCTTTTCGCAGCAATTGGCTTTATTAGTTTGTTGAATACTAGGTTTTTGCTTAGTTGAGTACAATTGCTACTAACTAAGGGAATAAGGCTCTCAACATGCGACAAGGTTATTACTTTGTCATACCTTTGCTGTCTAGCCATTTTCAAAATTCCTGAGGCTGATACCAACAACATGTGCATATTTTCTGTTTCATCAGCAGTTTTGATTTTACCTGAAAGAATATCCTCAAGTATCACCAAAACTTTTTCAGATAGCATACTTCTATTGGAAATATCCGTAGAATCCGACCCAATTCCGCAAACAGAGTTAATAAGAAGCTTTAAGGAATATATTTTGCACTTTACGAAATTATTTAGCTTTTCCTTTTCAACAAAATTTATTTTCTTGAACTGGTTGGTTAGATTTTCAGTATCCGATATAGCTTCATCCTCTAAGGTTGTTGGGTTTTCAGAATCTTTGTCACCATTTGTTTCTGTGTTTTCGGATGCTTTATTTGAGTTTCGATTTGAATTAGATTCTAGTTTCAAGGACGAATAAAAGCTTGCAGAATTAAACAGGTTTGCTTCTCCTTTGATGTATGACTGTAATGCAAAAAGTAGTTGATCGCAGACGTCGTTTTCAAGCAATTTGTAATTGAAAAGAGCAAATCTAGACATCGACGATAACCAAACATGTGCCTGGTTTTCGTCGTCACACAATAGCAACTCTTCGCTAACTTTATTTACTATTATAGAAGCTAGATCAAAAAATCCTGGAACTTTAGATAGTATAGTAGCAGCATACTTTGAGAGATTCTCATTGCCTTCAAGTACAAGCTTTCCAAGTAATTGGGCTAAATCAGGGTTTGGTGGGACCTGGCTTGGATATTGTCTGGCAAATAGCGACATTGTGTACAAGTGCTCTTTGTATGATTTAGTAGCGTTTAACTCACTAATTGGGTGATTAAGTTTATCGAATGAGAACAAGTCGTCCACATGATTTGCAAAAATCGTTGGCTGTATAGCCACAATATTTTTAAGTAGATCTATGCAAGATCGACGAAACTCAACACTATTGACGGCAGCATTGCTGAAAAGACCATTACTGCCAGAGCTGCCCTGACTAAGCATAAAGTTCCCACTGGATCCAGAAGAATATCTTTCAGACAAACGAGAAGTAGATGCTGATCCAAATGTTTCAAGCAAATTGGCCTCCTCGCTTAGAACTGAGCTTTCGAGCTTGGTTTCGCTTGAGTCGGTTTGTTTTTGAGCTAGTTCCAAAAGGGGAGAAACAAGGCTTCTATTGACAATAGTTAAACTAGCAGTTCGAAGAAGCATAGCAAAATGCTCGAGAAGGTTAGGAGCAAGGTCACGGACTTTTTTCATTACTGCTTTTTGTTCTTTTCTTACTGTTTTAAAGTCGCTGTGTGGATCCATCACCTTTAAAAAGCTATCAAAGGTTTGTTTATCGGCAATATCCGTGAATTGCAGTAGCGAAGATGCGAACTTGTCAGAATCAGGGTAGTACACAGATATGCGTTTGATCATTTCGTGGATCTTTCTAGATCTGAGAGATTTGTCATTTTCATCAATTTCAGAATTGGATACATATTTCAAAAGTATTTCAAGCTCAACTATAACGCTAATAAAGTACAAAAAAAAAGTGAGGGGGGGGGGCCAAAGAGTTATGAATGAATAATTTATAAAAAAAAGGAAAAAAAGAAGAATGGCTGTACTTTATAAATAAAATAAAATATCAAAAGCTTACTTTGATTGACGCTTTAATAAGCCAACAAATGCAGTTTTAGCTTTCTGAGAGGAAAACGAGTAAACAGTGACTAAGCGTAAACACCTCGAATAATCGTCTTTGATAGTGCTAGAACCAAATATCCCCCCAAACAATGCAGCTTCAGCATTACACGTAATATCATTAACACCGACATAAATCAGATTCAGGATTATTGAAGGGATTGAGCCAAACTTCAATGTTGCTAATTTGTTTCCAGCAGCGATATTATCATAAGCTTGATCATATATGTGACTTAGAGCTTGTGTAGCTTCAATCCGTGGACCTAGCTTTCTATCTTTGCACCTCTCACCGAGAACCTGTATCATTTTCGCACTTATGCTGTTCTGAACTATGGCAGAGATTTCAAGTTTGGTGAAAGCAGCACATGTAGCCTTTCGAACCCTTTCGTCAACATCTTCGAGCTTTTCGATGATTGGATCTAAAATCCAGTAAAAAAAAAGTGTTAATAAATTGCGGGACTTAAAAAATTTGAATCTAAAAGATCAATCAGTTCTAAAAAAATAACAAAAGGGGAATATAAATATAAATACCATCGAGTTCTTTAGCAAGCTGGGGTTGGTTTTGAAGCATCATTACCGCAAGCTCAGACCACATAACGCGAACGGCATGAGATTTGTCTGAGCGCCGTTTGATCCATGACCCCCAAGCAGATGCATATCTAGCTGCCAAAGTATACCCCTTTTCTAGGAACATTTGGCCTAGAACTTGAGTGGCCATAGTTCGAATGTTAACTTCGTCGATATTTAGTTCTTCTTCAAGCTGTGGAACAACATTCTGCAAAACACCAGGAGTGGCTTTATTTAGTTCCAAAATAAGGTAATGAGCTGTTTTTAAATTATTGAGTGTATCAGAATCAAGAGGTAGATTTCTGCTTGATGC